ATTAATAGATAAATGCAAATTAATAGTTAATTAAAATGGTGGAATATAATTATAAATGGATAATTTTTAAGGATTTATAAAGGAAAATCTATTGAATGAAATAATAAATTTAAGACATAATGAAAATGTTTAAATTTAAATTAATTTAGAAGAAGAAGACTAAAATAAGAAAAATTGTGATTTAAGGAAAATTCCATTCAAGTTTTTTATGGAAAAATCATAAATAAAGTAAAATAATATAGAAAAAAATGAATTTTTAAATGAATATTTATAAATTACACACGAAAAGTTCGAAAAAGATGTAATAAGGAAGTAAATTCTGGGAAAAAGTGAAAATTTTTTACTAGAAGATGCCGTTTAATGGAATATTTTTATCAGATTTAATTTCTTTGAAAAGACTCAGACTGATTATTAGAAATTAAATTTACAGATTTTATTATATTAGTTTTTTAAACAAGAAAAAAAAAAGCGACCCTTTATTCTTTCTGATTTAAGGGAAGTCGCAAGGATGTGTTTAAATAAAATTAAATAAAATTATTTTGTATATGAAGAAGAAGAAAAAGATTTTACTTAAGTATATGAAAGAAAATCCTTTATTTTAGATTAATTTAATAGTATTCTTTAGAGAAATAGAAATAAATAATATTCCTTTAATAATAATAAGATATATTAGCAATAATAAAATTTTTAATCATAATAACAAAATTATGATTAATAAGAAAATTAAGAATTATAAGTTAATTAAAAATTGTAGAAAAAAAAATTTTTAGGGTAATAATATGAAAGGAATATTAATAAATTATAAAAAGTTGTATATTAATAAGAATATAAACTTAATAATATATTTGAAAATTAAAAACATAAACCAAAATTGAAAATTAATAGATAATTAAATATCGAAAGACTTATAAATCCAAATAAATAATATTTTGTTTTAATGTATAGGGGAGTTTTTACTATTAAACCGCCATAAATGATTGCTATTTATTTCAGAAATATGAAGTTTTATTGCAAAATATGGAATATTTTATCGTAAAAAGGGATGGAATAGAAAATTAAATATAGTTAATTGCAATATTAGATACCATTTTTGAAAGAATTTATATAAATGAAGAAGTTTTAGGATATTGGGTTGAAAATATATAAAAGTTGTAAAAATAATTTAATGATTTAAAGTTTTTATGAAATTAATTAATGATTATTTTTTATTTGATTAATTTTTTTATTTTTATTAATATATTTTTATTTAAAAATATTTTTTTTTTTTTTTTTTTTTTTGAATATTAAAATTTTTATTTATGAGTTCTCCTTTTAAAAATTATAATAATTATTCTGGATAAATCAGAAATTAGTATTTAGGAAATGGGATAGATTGTAATTATAATAGTAATGAATTTTCAATGGAGGCTATATATAAAAAGAAGATTTTTATTTTAGAATAAGAAATAGAAGATTTAAAACATGAGAATAACTAATTAAAAAAAACAATATAAAATTACAAAGAAGAAGAAAGTAGAAATATAATATTGGATAATGAAAGAATAAATAAATTATTAAACGAAAGAGAAGAATTAATGAGAGATTGTGCTGATTTGGCTAGAGGAAATAGACTTTTAAGTTAAGAAAATGATATGGTTTTGACGAAATATTCAAATGTATTAGAAATATATAATAGATTGGTAATTTTAAATGAGGAAAATTAGAAATTAACAGGAGATATGCAATTAAATAATTAATGGAAAAAAGAATAATTAAAAAATTAGTGGAAAATAAGTTCGAAGATTTAAATGAATAATTAAAAAATTATGAAATTTAAAAATTTAATTGAATGAAACTTTTAATGGCTTTTAATAATAAAAAGAATACTTTTATTCTTAGTAGTTTATGAGTAAAGAAGAAACGAAAAATTAAGTAGCAAAAACAATGTCTTATATAGAGGAAGCTTATAAGATAAATCTAAAAATGAATGAATCAAATGAAATGATAATTCAAAATATTCTTAAAAAATTAGAAGATTAATAAAATAATAAACAATCAAGTTAACAAAATATCAATACAAATACGAAAGATTAAAAAGCAAAAAATTCAGAAAAAAAAAAAGATTAAAAAAAAAATGATAAGAAAAATACAGATAAGAAAAAAAATGATAAACAAAATGATAAAAAAGATAATAAAAAAACAGAAAATAAATAACCTAAAGATAAAAAAATATGAAGAATATATATGAATATATTTATTTATATATATATAAATAAAAATATATATATAAAAAAAATATATGTATATATATATAAATATTTATATTTATATTTATATTTTTATTTATATTTATATATATAACTTTTTTTTTTCTTTATTATAATTTATTATTTTTTTTATTTTTATTTTTATTTTTTTTATATATTTTTTTAATTTTTTATAATATTAATTTTATTGACATTATTATATTTTTTTATAAGTTATATTTTTTTATTTCTTAATTTTTTTTTTTTGAGTTATCACAATAATTTTTTATTTTTCCTCTTTGTATTAAAATTAATGTTAATCTTTTTTATATTATATTAATAAAATTTTATTAATATTAAATTACACATAATTAATTATATTTATATAATTTTTTAATTAATTTTTATTTTTATAATATATAAATTAATATTATTAAGATAGTCATAATTTTTTGAATATTTATATATTCATATATTATCCATTATATTTTTTTTATAAATTTTTACAAAAAATATTTTTTTATTTTTAAATTTAATTAAATTAAATTTTTATTTTTAATTTTTTTTTATATAAAATAAAATAATTTTAAATTATATTTTAAATTATTTTTTAAAAATTTACAAATAACACATATAAAGATATTATTCTTTTATTTTTCTAATATAATATATTTTAATTTTTTTGTAAATTAAATTTATTTCATAATTAATATTAATTTATAAATAGTATTTAAAATTAACTAGTTTCAATTAATGTTTCATATTTAATTTTAGTATAAAAAAAATATATTTATATAAATGCTTATAATTTTTTTAAAAAATATAATAAATAATAAAGAAATTTATATATTTTTTTAAAAAATATATATTTATAGGATTTTTATAAATATAAATATATTAAATACATAATTTATATTTTTTTAAAATATTAAGTGTTAATAATATAAATAGTTATAGATGATGATTAAATTAGAGTTTTCTAATAATTTATAAAGTATTACTTTATATATTATATAATAAATTAAAACTTAATAGTAAAACAAGATTAATAAATTGTTTTTTATATATATATGAAATTTAAAAATAAAATAAAATATATATAAATAAATAAATAATCATATTAATTAAATGTGAAAGACTTCTTATTTTATATTATAATATAAATAAGTATTTTCATAATAAATATATATATATATATATATTTATTTATAAATTAATTAATATGTATATATATATATATTATTTTAAACTTTTAAAATAATATGTTTATAATTATGAAATAATGTTTTTAAGTATTAAATTAAAATATTAAGACTCCTTAATATATTCCAGAAATTTATTAATATTTTTTTATCCAGATTTTTATAACAAAATATATAATATTAATATTTTAAGCGTTTACGATATATATTTAATACATTTAAAATTTATACCTGCGCACCTCTAAATTACATTCTTAAATTTTACTTTTTAATTAAAATTATTGATTTACATTTTTTTATTCTTATTATTAATTTAATAAATTAATTTTAAATAAGATAATGAATAGATAATTTAGTAATGAAACTTTAGCTACTTTTATTTATATTTCAGGAATTTTAGTTATGATATTTTTATGTTAAAAATAAATTTTTAAGATAAGAGATTTTAATCATATTTTTAATAAATTATATATATATATATATATTTTTTTATTAACTAGTGTAGTAATTTTAGAGTATTTTATTTTTTAATGTTTTGCTTATTTAAATTTAATTTTTGGGGATAGATATTAATTATAAATTTATACTTTTTGAATTTCTATTCCATAGTAATGGGTTTATAATATTTATATTTTCCTAAAAAAATAAATTAATTAAGACATTTTTGATTTTAAATAATTTTATATAAAAAAGCTATTTATAATTTAAAATATTATTAGATTTTTATAATTTATTATCGTATTTATATAAAATAAACTATTTTTAATAAATTTAATTTATTACAAAGGAATAAATAATAATATTAAGATTTTATTTTATTTGCATGTATATTATTAAATTAAATTAAATTTATTTTATTTAAAAATATTTTTGTTTATAAATATAATTAGTTTATTAATAGATTTTTTTAAAAAATATATAAACTTTGAAATTAAAAATGAATATTTTTTTTTTTTATATATATTGACTTTTTTTATTTATTTTTATTTAAAAAAAAAAAAAAAAAAAAAAAACAAGGCTATAAAAATTTTAAAAAAATATTAACAAATAATATTTAAATAAATTTTAATGAAAAAAGACAGAAACTATTAATTAAAATATAAATAATATAAAGGCTTTTTTTATTTATTTATTTTTTTCAAATTAATTTAATAGTATTTAATACATTATTTTGTGCTAAAAAAACCTAAAAAATAAAATATTAATTTAAAAAATGGAATAAGTTTTTAGATAAGGAGATTATGTTTGGTAATCTAGTAATTTTATCGGCTAAGGATCTTTCGCGAAGGTTTACAAATGTAAAAGTTTAAAAGATAATTTATATTATGCAGTAAAAGTAATCGATATGAGTAATTTTACAGATAGATAAATGCTTGATTCATTAAAAAACGAGATAAATATAATGAAGTAATTAAAAGGAGAAAATATAGTTCACTTAGTTGAATCTATAATAGGGAAAAAAGAAACATTTTTATTTATAGAATATTGTGAAGGAGGTGATTTACGTAAATATATAAATAAAAAAGGCAGCAAACTAAATGAAATGGAAGCCATAATAATATTAAATTAACTAATGAAAGGTTTTTAAGAACTTATATCAAAAGGATATATACATAGAGATATAAAACCCCAAAATTGTTTAATAAAAAATAATATTTTCAAAATAGCAGATTTCGGTTTTGCTACAAAAGCAGATTTAAAGGGAAGAAAATTACTTAAAGATTGTGTAGGAACACCCCTATATATGGCTCCTTAATTATTAGAGAATTCCTCATATACAGCCAAAAGTGATTTATGGTCAATTGGAATGATGTTTTATGAAATGATTTTCGGAAAAACGTAAAAAATTAAATAATATATATTTGAAATATATATTTAATTTTTTAGACCATGGCCTGCTAGGGATTTAAATTCTTTTTTATTAAATATAAATAGTTCTCCTTTAAGATTTCCTTATGATAAACCAATAGGGATTTAAACTAAGAATTTTTTAGTAAGATGTCTTACTATTGATGAGAAGAAACGAATTGGGTGGGATGAGATATTTTAACATTCTATATTGAAAATGGAGAGTGGGAAAGTGGAAGTACCTGAGGTGGTTTTAGATATGAAATCGAAGTTAATTTTGAGGAGTATGTAGAAGATTGTTTAGATGAACAATTTAAATATAAATAATATTTTTAATAAATATGATGTGGATGGGGGAGGGTCTTTAGATGAAAACGAATTTTTTTATCTTCTAAGAATGATTGATAAAAGGATTTCGGAAGATGAATCGAATTATGTTTTTAATGTTGTGGATTCCTCTAAAGATAAAAAGGTTACTTTATAGGAATTTAGTACTATTTTTTGCAATTATGATTTTAGTGATATTGAAGATCGGGTAGGGAATATTATTACAGATTTAAGGGAAATTATTAAGGCTAATGGACTTAAATTGAAATAAATGTTCGTTAATTTTGATACGGATTAATATGGGACTTTGGATAAACTGGAATTTGAAAATTTAATTAAAATTGTAGCACCAGCTTTGAAAAATGATGAAATTGATTAGTGTTTTGATTAGTTCGATATTAATAAGGATGGGAATATCTCTTTTGATGAGTTTGTTAAGGCTCTTACAGTTTAGGAAGAGGGAAATAACGATTTAAGTGTTTAGAAAGCGAAAAAAATAATTGGGGAATTAAGGAAAACTTGCAAATAAAATAATATCGATACGCATATTATATTTAATAATATTACTAAAAAAAAAGAACCTTTTTTAGATGTTGGGTAATTTGAGAAACTTATTAAAATTATTGATAAAAATATTAGTAGTGAAGATCTTAAAAACGCTTTTAGCTTGTTTGATGTCAATAATGATGGGAAAATCGATTATAATGAATTTAATTAGTAACTAAAATGATATTCTATATGTTTATTTTTTATTATTTAATATTTATTTTTAATATATGTTTGTTTATTTATTTTCGTTATATGTAAATATTTTTACTTATTTAATAATAAAAATAATAACTAAATATATTATAATTTTATTTTAATTTTGAATATATATAGAATTCATATTTTTGAGTTGTTTTATAGATAATATTGTTTTTAATTTATATAGAATATGAGTTTAAATAATAAAATAATTTAATATTTTATTAATAATTAATTTTATTGAAAATTAATTATTAAATAAATATTTATAGAAATATTATATTAATATTCATGAAAAAAAAAATTATATAAATAATAATAAACTAAACCTAAAAAGAATTTTTCATATCAAAGTACACTAATATTTGGTTAAATATTAATTTTACTAAATCTTTCTTTATAGACATCAAGCAGAAATTTAAAGTCGATTATATTACCTTCTCTTTAAGCAAATTTAATAAGCTTATTAAAACATAAATCATCAATATATATACCCAAATTATTAAACATTTTTTTCAAAACACTTACACAAATATCATAAGTAATCACCTAATTGATTTTATGGAATTATTACATTAAATATTTTCTATTTCTTCCTATTATAGAAATAAGGTTATTAAAATCTTTCACATTATTCTAAAAACAATCAGAATTAATTAAATTCTGAGTTTTATATATTAATTCAAAATTAGATTTTGTATTATTTTTAAATTAAGAAAGTAATGTCTTATTATAAATTATCTAATTTTCTTCATCTTTTAATGTACTAAAAGTATTTATCCATTCATTTTAATCAATAAAACCATCATTTCTGGTATCTAAAGTAAGAAAAATGTCCTTTATTATATCAAATTAAGGTAATTCTTCATTAGACATTTAACTTAATTTCTATATAAAATTATAAAATTATTCAAAACTCATTTTTCCTGTATGATCAGTATTAAACTATATAAATATATATATATGTAAATATATATATATATATATATATATATATATATATATATATATATTAATACTTATCTAAATGCGTCTATTGGAGATATCATATAATAAATTAAATTTTATTTTATTTTTTTTAAACGTATATTTTATCTTTATGAAATTCTATTAGATGACATATTTTATTTAAATTTTTGTAGAATATTTATATAATTTATAAACCCGTCTTTTTAATCGTCACAAATAACTATTATTTAGTCTATTTCTTTTGCTTTTAAATTTAATCCTAAAGATCTTATGACATTTTTAAATTCTAAAATTGATATTTTTCCTGTTTTTTAAGGATCTAGTGCTTAGAATTTACTCTCTAGGAGTATATTTTTACCGTTTATTAAACTTTTGACTTTTTAAATTATATCCTCTTCGTTATTTGTGTTATCTTTATCTAAAATTTAACTTTTTACATAAGAATTAGGTTCTGTTTTAGACCTTTTGAAATCGTATAGAGGAAACTAGGCGTCGAAAAAATCATAAAATGTATTTTTGTCTATTATATTTTAATTATTATTACACATTTTGAACCAAAAAGCTTAAATATCTTTATTTGTGAAACGGTTTTTGATTATTTATTTAACTCCATTAGCAAAATTTTAAAATGTTATATAGTTTTAATGTTTATTTTATGTGAAATAATCAAAAGCTTATGTTTTAGAAGAAAATATTTCTTATAGTATTTCTTAGATTTCCAATTTAATTTCTTTTTTCCAATTAAAATCTATAAATGAATTTTTCCAATCTATTAGAGTTAAATATCCTTTTTTATGTGGATCTAATTATGAAAAAAGCTAGAAAATAAAAAAATATTGTATATATTTAAATATATATATATATATATATATATATATAAATTATAAATAATAATATATATTCATATATATTTATTTTTATATTAAGTGTTAAATATATTTATTTATATTTATATTATCCATAAAGGTATATTTATTTATATATATACTGTTTATAATTGGTCGAATGTTAAATCAAATCCAAATAAAGCTTTACTTGTTTCAATCCATTATTAAAATGGTTTAAATAGCATATTAATTTGATTTTAGGAAATAGTTTCAAAAGATTCTTCCAAATCTTTAAATTTTCTTGAAATTGTTAATCCGATTTACTATTTGGCATGAGTAATCCAGTTTTCCTCATTTTTTTTTTTTTAATCTTTAGAAAGAATTTTTTTTAAATCCGCTAATTAAACAAAACCTCTTTTATGTTAATCGAAAAGCTTAAAAAGCCTATTTATTTTTTAAACATTCAAATCTTCTTTATGTAAAATCTATTCTAGGAAGATTTTTAAGTCACTTTTGGAAATTAAACCGTCAAAATCATTATCTATAATCCTAAAAGCATCCTCAAAGCTTATTTTTTCATTCTAAAACCATATTTTAATATCTTCGAGAGTTTTTTGTGTAAATTCCCATTCGTTTTTCGGCGTTTTACACTCATTTTCTTCATAAGTTTCCTTTAAATCTATCGCTGAGGCATTTATGGCTTTAGAAAAAGCCTAATAATTAACCATTCCGATTTTCGATTTGTCCATAAAGGCAAATAAGCCATCTTTTACTTACTATGAAAGATTTAAAATTAAGTCTATTTTTTAAGAAAATTCTTCAATAGTTATAAAACCATCATTGTTTTAATCTAAGATAGTAAAAAAATCTCTTTGGGAGATTTTTTTAATTTTGAGTATATTTCGGATTTCAAATAGAATAGTTTCTAGTTATTTAGATGGAGGGAGATCTTTGGGGAAAAGATTTATTGTATTTTTTGCTTTTTTTAGACATTTTAATCTTTGTATATGTAGCTTATTCTTGATAAAAATGTAGTTAAGTCTTCCTGGGAAATTATTCCGTCTTTATCTATGTCGATTTATGTCACGTATTTTTCCAAATCTTGGATATCGGAGTTAGGGAAAGCCTCTTTTTTGAGAAATTCGGTAAATATTTCATTTGTAATTTCGTTTATATGCCTTATTTAATGCTTATTTTGTACTAATATATCTTTTAGAAGCTCTTCGGCATCTTTTAGTTGTCTTCTTTTTAGAAATATGATTAATTTTTCATAGAAATCTATAGAATCTACAAAACAAAAGATATTTTTATTTCCTTAAATTCTATAATCGATTCTTTTCAATGATTTTAAAAATTTATTATAGTCAATTAAACCATCGAATTCTTTCTCTATATACCTCATAAGTCTATTAAGGTCTTTTACATTTATTCCTATGTTCATATCTAGTATACAGGTTTTAAATATGGAACTATTTATTTTACCGGAATTTCTTATGTCGGATTTTTAAAATAGTTACTCAGCTATATTTGGGTTTGGAAGTGTGTTTATTTATTTTTTTATACGTAATAGCATGTCATTGTGCCAATTTAAGTCTTCTAATTCTTTAGATTCTTCTAAATAATTATCGTTTTCACAGCATAAAACTTTTATTAAGGTCGAAGAATCTATATACTGTTTATTTTGCATTATAGATTTAGCAACTGATAAAGATTTTTGTTCATCTAAATTTTTTAAAAAAATTTAAAAATTAATGTATATAAGAAAAATATTAATAAATAGATATATAAAATAAAAATAATTATATATATACATTTATATATTAATATATTTATAAATATATATATAATATATAAAATATATATAATTAAATATATATATAAATATTAATATTAATTATGTATTTATATATAAAAAATTTTGTATATATAATAAATATATGATTATATTCGTACTATATATTTTTTTTTATATCTATATACTTAAATTCATATCTAGTTATCTTAATGCCTTTACTAAAGTTTTTTCGCTTATTTATGTATTTTTGCGATCAATTTACATTGTTTTGAATACATCGTCTAGTTTTAAATGCTATTTTTTTATTATGTCTTTTATTCTTTATAATAATTAATTATCTGTATCATCTTTTATAACCTTTATCCAGTCGTTTATACATACAAATTTATCCTTATTGTAATCTAATTATCCGAATATTTAATTTGCTTGTTCTGAAGTCATGTCTATATCCATATTTAAAAGACCTTTAATGACTTCATCTTCTGTTAGCTTTGTACTTCTTTAAACATTTCCTTTACAAAATTTACTGAATTCTATAAAAGACTATATTTATTTAATTAAATTTAATAAAAATATATATTTATTTATACATCTTCTTTATTTAAATGTTTGCTTCTAATCCAAAAAGTTAAAATTTATATTCCTGTTTAATTATCTGAGTTTATTGATTCTTTTGTCCCATTTATATAGCTCTTTTAAGTTTAATTTTATATTTATTATGATATAGAATTTTTATTTTTATTTTTTTTTTTAAAAATATCGTCTATGTTTATATTCATTTTTGTTGACAAATAATTTTAAGCTGTCTAATCTATACTTACTTGCGATTTTTATAAATTATTTATAATTTCTTAATTTTATTATTATTATTATTGCTATTATTATTGTTATTATTAAAACTAGTATAATTTTTCTTTAGTTAATGTCATGTCTCCTCTTAGTATTTTCTCCTATATCGGTTTTTTAGATACATCTTTAGTTACTTTGCAAATATAGTCATTAAATTAAACACCTGCTAATCCATTTCTTATTTTTAAATTACCCACATTAGGAATTTAAAAATTAATTGAAGTTTACTTTTAAATTGTTTTCTTTTTTTTGTTTTAATTTTTATTTTTTTTTACTTATCTTGCTTAGTTTTGTAAATTCTTTATTACTCTTTCTATACATATTTTTGTTTCTTCTTTACCTTTTTAAGCATATGTACTAATTTCCATAAAATTTGCTTTTTGTTAAGGTATATTACCATTTACTCCTATTACTTAATAAGAACGTAATGTATCTCCTATATAAATTCCGGATTTAATATCTTTTCCTTTACAAAAATCTTTTGATATTATAAATACAGGCACTCGACCTTCTTTTTCGAGTAATTATTTATTTGTAACACCCTTTTTTTAAATATAATATATTAAATAAAAATGATTATATATTTTTAACTTATAAAGAAAATTCAGGTGCACTTAGAGTAAATAAACCAAAATTTTAAATGTATATTCCTCTTCCCATTCTAAGATTTCTCGCAATATATTAACCTTTAAATTTTATTTTTAAATATATTTTTTTAATATTTACCAAATGCATTCCATGATGAGCTAATATCTTCATCATTAAATGCCATAGAAGTAGCTTACATAAGTGAGAGTCTTTTATAAATATTGAATTATATATTTTTTTGTTATATTAAAATACCTTTTGGTAGATTAAAATGCTATTTGATCAAAAACTTATTATGTTTATTAAGAAATTTATGATTGCTCTGTTTTTAATGTGGCCATAATAATAGAAAAAAAATATTTTATTTTTTATTATTTAAAAGTTTTATTTTATTTTTATTTACATTTGTTTAAATATATTTATGATATAAATATAATTTAAAATTATAAAAATAATACTTTAAAATAAAAATATATTAGAATTATATATATATACTTTAAATAATTAAAAAATTTAAATATAAATATAAAAAATAGTTTTTTTTAACAACTTATATTAAGAATAATTCAAATAATATTATTTTTAAAAATAAAAATAAAAAATAAAATAAAAAACTAGATATATATATATATATATATACATATAAATATAAATATATATATATATATATATATATATTTATATTTTATTTATATATATTTATTTATATATATTATTGTTTTTGATTAAAAAATTTTTATAATTTTTATTTAAAATCTTATAATTCAGTAATCATTTAATATAATGCTTTTATAAGTTGTATTTGAAACTTCTTTATTATTATTTTTTTTATGATTTGTTTGATAAATATTTTAAATATTTATTTAATTTGATATGTGCTTATTTTATATTTATATTAATTTAATTTGTTAGTTATATAAATGTATAATATATAAAATTTTATTAATAAATAAAAATATAGTTTTTTTTTTGGTCAATCGAGATTTAAATTATATTTTCTTAGCCTAATATACTTTTATTTTATATAAAAACAAGAAAAGAGATGTATATTTAATTTAATATTTCAAGCATAATAATATTTTTATATTATATGTTATTCTTTATATATAAATATTTTAGATTATGTTTTTTTTAGTCTTTTATTATGATATTTACATATTAAAATTACAAAAACAAATATTTTTATTGTGAATTTATTAGAATTATATTTAATATTTTATTTATTATTTCTATACATTTTACGTATAACCTTAATGTATTTCAAAATATATTATTATATATATTTTCGTAAAATCTAAATATAAATACGATTATTTTTATATATATTTTTTTTTGATAATAATAATTTATTACAATTATAATTATTTTAATATTTAATAATATCTAAAACTTATATTAATTGATAAGATATAAAATTAAATTATTTTTATATATTTTAAGTACATTTTAATTTCATTAATATATTACTATTAAGTTCTTTTAAAGTATTTAAGATTAATATAAAAATATTAATAAGGAATAATTTAATAAATAGGTTGTAAAAAATATAAAAATATTTTCTAAAAAAATTAAAAAATCTGAGTATAAAAACTTTAATAAAAAGTCTATTGAAAATAAAAATAAAACAAGGAGCAGGTAAATAAAATATTTTAATGAATTAGAATTATAAATAAAATATTTAAATTTAATATTTATATATTATTATTAACAAAAAAAGTTATATTCGTGTCTTATAAGGTTTTTATATATATAAAATGTTAAAAAATAAAAAAAAAAAATTAAATATTAATACACAATTTTTGTTTTTAAAAATAAATAAAAAAAAATAAAAA